ACCAAATGCCAAAGTTTATAGGCATTTAGAATTTATTTTATAATAGTAAGTTTATAGATGTGCTTGGGGGAAGAAGGGGTGCTTTAATTAGAGCGGCTCTAAGAACCACTCTAATTAAAAAGCCTGGCACGTTATGTGTATCAGCATCCCTGTACTGAAAAATGGCAGCGGGGGTGCTTTAACTACAGCTCATTGAACAAGTTTTAATTAAAAACACCCCTGCTGCCATTTTTCAGTGCAGGGATGCTGATGCATGTGACGGCTGGAGTATTTTATAGCGCGGTAATCACCATCAAGTCTGATCCGAGGTTGTAATTACAGCAAGTTGGAGGCGCCTGTCTGCACGTGTATAGGCACCCATAGTGATTCAGGCACTGGTAGGGTTCCAAATTGCTTTAAAATGGTAAATATATCAATAAAACATTGCGTTTAACTGATACATATGTATGTAGTGGTGTTTCATTTTAATCACAGAAAAATGCAGATTTGGGATTTTTAATTAGAATTTGCCATTCTTAAACAGAGAAAACCAGGTTCCCAGCTGATCACCTTGTTCTTTTAGGTGCTTCAAAAGAGATTCCTTGAGAACCTGCCTTGTGATCTTTGGAAGTATTGAGCTTAGGCTGACCGGTCTGTAGTTCCATGAACATCCTTCTTCCCTTTCTTAAAGAAGAGCATTATATTTACCCTTTTCCAGTCACCTGGGGCCTCACCTGACCTCTATGAGTTCTCAAAGAGGTTAGCCAGTGGCTCTGAAAATACCTCAGCCAATTCCTTCACTGCACTTAGTATGTATCCCATTCAGCCCTGCCAACTTTGAAAGCATCTAGCTTCTTTAAGGAATCTCTAACCTGTTGTTGTAGTACTCTAGACTGTTTGTCTCCTTCCTTATCTTTGCTGACAAGCATGCTCGTCATTTGGTTAGCTGATCCTGTTTGTGAAGACTTAAGGCAAAAAGGCATCTAAAAAGCAAATAAAGTTGTAGAAAACTTACAAAAAAGATTTCTGGACAGTTGTTACCAAGTGGGTGTTGGAGGCAACTGGGTGCCCTGTACAACCCTTGCACTAGACTCCATGCCAAGTTCTAAGCCTTAGCAGGCAAACCTCTTCCAAAGCAGCCATGTATATGTATTCTGCTAGAGTTTTCAAATATGTCAGCACATTATTAGGTCTTTTCTACATGTTTCATCTGTTGTGCAGTTACCTAGTTAATTGCACAATTAATTTAGACTGGCAAATTTAACTATGGCACCTTTAAAAACAGGTCCAACCAGATATCAGAAATGTGTAATAACTTTATCGCTGGTTTCTATCCAGCTTTACTTTGTTCCTGTAGTCTGTGTCTCTGTGGTTGGGAGACACCAACTGCTGTGATCTCCCAGCCATCGGGGTGCACCCCACAGCTGCCAGGGCTGAGACTCCTGTGACTCAACCCTAAATGCACCCCATACATATCTGGGGCGCAGCTGGGGCTGAGTTCCATCAACTGTGAGACTCACAGCTGTGGGAGCTTGTTATTTGCTGGTGCAGTGGAGCCCAGGGCAGCAATCCTGGGCTCCCCTTGTACTGGGAATAAGGTGTGATATGATCTTATGCTGGATCTCACAATTGTGCTTCCTGCCATGTACATGTGGCATGACAGGATGTGCAATTGTGTGGATCATGTATTAGGATCCCTGCACATGTAAAGGGACCTTTAGTGGTATTAAACCTAATTGATCTAAGATTTGGCCTACACATTTGTTCCATCTACTCTAAGCTGTTAAAGCTGCTGTGTGTGTATTTTTCTCATTTTAATGCTTTAGTGCTTTAAAGAAGGCCAGTGCCCTATGACCCCAGACAGGCTAATCGCTAGAAACTAAACAGACTTGGAGATAAGGCACAAGATTTCTGGAGACTACTAGAGAAGTTCTGTCATGACTTTAAGTAATCTTTCAGAAAATTAATTACTTGTGATCCTAGTGGTAGTTGAGTTAGTAAAGCAGTATCTTGATTCTTAAAATTGAGGTCTATCTTCTTGAAGAAAAAGCTCTTTGATTAACATTCTTCAGTGAGGTATTTAGAATTGACCCCATAATAGCCTGAGCTCCTTTTTCTGACTTTCACCAGTAGGGAGGGTTAAAACATCTGAATATCAGGGAATGAAATTTGAGAAATGTTCCACTCCCCTCCTCCCTGCTATCCTGTGTCTGCCTCCCAACTTCCCTCTCCCCAGCCCCTGATTTATTTGGGCTGTCACTTTGAATAGAATTAACAGAACAATGCTGTACCAGCTTGGGTGGCTCATAAAAAAATTGCCAGTTTAGGTGCATCACCATTTGGTCACAGGCATTAGATGCATACTGTGTTGTAATTATAGTACAGCTTTCATCTTGATGGTCTCTTACTGAGGATTTTTCAGGTTTATAAGTTAAGATAAGCATAGCTGTACTCTGATACAGTTATTCTATATCTGATATATTTAGTTGCATTGAATTTGCAAGATTATAATCTGTTGATGTCAGTGATATTCTTTATCCGATCTATGTTTATTTCTGAATGCTTTCTTTTAAATGCTTTAATTTGGTCAAATCACTCTAATTCTAAGGTTTGGATATCAAGTATTGAATGATAGGAAAGTAGTATGTAGCTTAAGTTTAGATATTTAGGAATTTGCCTGTTTTATTTTTCTATGAGAATATGATTGTACAGTAAATTTTTAATAGGCATAATGTGTTCTGTGAAGACTGCTGTGATGTACGAGTGAAGGAACAGCAATAGGTACAAGATGAGAGTGTTGAGCTTTTTAGAAATGTGTAAAACTGCACGAAAATTAAATGCCATACACTTATTTTTTAAACGAAGAAGTGTGGTGCTAAGATGAGGAAAAATAAGTTTGAGATGAATGAAGTGTGTAAAAAGCTGCAGTTCTGGTAAGTAGACAATCTTGGTAGTTTAGTGTGTATAAATTGGCTGGATTGTTGCACACTAATTGGCTTCAGACTTTTGCCAAAGATTCTGAACCTCCTTGATTGAGGTTGCTTAAAAAAGTCAGATATTGTCTCTGACACTTAGCCAGTTTTTTCTAGATATCAAATAGAAACCAAAATAGACTGTAAGATTCTGAAATGACTATAATTATGGCTTCAGTCAACTCCTTGAGGTCTACCTGGTGGGTATTTCATTTGTCTTTACACAGTCTCAGCAGTCTTGAGGCAGCTTACGGAGAGAGCTTCATTCATAGTGTAATAATAACTTAAGTTTGATGTCATATTTGCACAAAATACCTGAATGTTCCTTATATGGATGACTGTACTGTTGAACAGCCATGCTACCAGTTTCTTCCAGGAATAATTAAAAGCTAAATGACTAATTAGGCTTCAACCTGGAAGAGACGTTGGATGTGGGAGTAAGCATCAGATTTGTATGTAGTTCTCTAGTAAAGTGGCATGTCATTTTGTGGAGACAACTAGTTTGTGCACAAACTAGTAATTGCGAAATTATAAAAAGGAGTTGGTAACCCTTTTCCAATTAATATTTTGTGTTTTGTGAATTTGCATTTCTTCACATTGTTATATTCCAGTCACTTCATAGCGGTTTAAGTATTGAACTAGTTGGTGATGGAATTTTATTCTTTGGTAAATTATTGGAGAAATGTGTTTTCTGAAAAGGAATGCTATAATTTTTCTTCTTTTTTTTTTTTAGAAGCATGAAAATGGTTTTCTGATTTTATACATCATAGAGTAAATGCAGATAAGTAATTTGAGGAGTTCAGTGTAAAAGGCAGGTACCCCTGAAATGGGGTATTAAGTACAGAAGTAAGTTTTAAAATGCTTTGGAAGGAGACATTTACTTCTAAAGTGGAGTGTGGGAAGACATATAATTTCAAGGTTAGACCCATAATTAAGTAGCAAATTAGAGTGTAGCAGTGAGGTCAATGATAGGTATTATCTTTAAATAGTATATAATATGCTCCGCATGTATGAGATGCAAACACAGTTGTTACCCTGAGGAGTTAGTCTCAGTAGTGCAATATCCCTGTGAAGTAGGGTATGGCCCTAGAGTACTTTTGTAAAAGCAGCTTACATCCCCATTTTTTAAAACAAGGTTTGAGAGAACCTTAAAAAAACCCAGAAGCAATAATAATTGAAAACTGAATTTATTTGCCTACACATTTTTTTTGTAGTGAAATTATCACAACGCTTTTCTCTTGAATCAGAACGGAGAGTGAAACACCAGCAACTGTTTACATAGAAATATAGCTTCTGGAATTGTGTTCAACCTACAAAATGCCTACTCTTAATTCGTTCAGAAGAGTTTAAGCATGTTCAAAGTGGTTATATCATCAGCTTTGCAATTACGTATGTGCTAATAACCATCACTGAAAATATTTGATGTCCTGTAGTGATCAATGCATAGCTACAGCTGGTTGAAGGGGACCAAATCCATTGAACAGGTGATTTGGTTCCATTTTACCAGCTTTAGCAAAGCATTGGAGTGCAGGCAGCCAATAAGTTTATTTCATAACAAAACAGCCCCAAGTTTCCTTAGCATATGCATATAATTTTACAGAGTATATATGACTTTTTCTTCAGAGATAATTATACACATCTACATTTGCGTTTAAATTTTTAAGTCATTCCACATAACTCGATTTAGGGAGGACAGGAATGAAAGTTATACCAGAATGGCTTGTATAATCTACCAGTTTATTCTTGCAGTTTTATAAACACGGTTTTTAGAACTGGTAGATTGGCCTAATAATACTGTACAGTTACAGTATTACCTTCTGACTAATTCCAGAGTACTGAATAGCTGTATTTTTTTGTGTAAAATAACATATAGTAATTATCTTTTATCATAAGAAATCACATTGGGATAGGCATGGTATTTTAGTTTACCCGTTGCTGCTGTTTTTCATGACAGTTGGTTAACACTAATAACAGATCGGGTTGGGTTGTGGGAAGAGGAGTATCTCAGGCCCTCAGTTATAAATGTCAGATGGTCTTAATGCTTTTTTTAGCATATCCCTGGTCAGGATATCCTTTAGAAATTCCGACGTTTTAGTGTAACACAAGGAGATTTTTTTTACATGTTTCTCTTTGTGTACAAACTCCTAATGCAAGCAAACAAAAAACAGCTAAAGCAATGCCTCTGGCTTCTGCTAGATGAAGGTCCTTAGCACAACTTATAAAAGGCTCTGTAAATGTGCTTATGATGTAGGCATTGTCTTGCAAGGTGCTGATTAGTGGTGGTAGATGAACAGGTGATGCTTGTATTTGAAAGACCTGTTGTACTTTTGCAAGGGGGTGGGAGAGCTGCATCAATTCAAACTATGCCCTAATAATGCACTGTGTCAAGTATAGTGTGCATCTGTTTGTGATGTCTGATGTTGGTGATGAGATTTATGTAAATATATTCTTTACACCATGTATCCTAATAGAAACATAGCAGGTGTGCCACTTGGACTTAAGCAGTAAAGACTGCCATAAAACTGGTTGCTATTTTTACCGGTTATACAGGAACTGTTTTACAGATCCAGCTGCTCAAGTGTGCTTTTGGATGGCAATACAGTTTAGTGTACTGGCCATATCGGGGCAAAAAATGGCCATGGAAAAAAGTAGTGTAGCATTTGATAATGTCAGCATCTGTTATCCCTGTCAGTCACACAGTCAAAATGTTTGAGTTACAACTGTGTCAGCAGATGCCCAGAGTTCAATGTGTGCTCAGTTAAAATTGAACAGCTGATCTAAGTGATGGATGTGACATTTTAGAATGACTGGGTATATATTCTTAGACAGATATTAACGAGAACTAGCAAGAAGCAATATCAACATAATTTTAACTTTTGTATGACTTTCAGAATTGTCATTTTGTTTCAGAATAGCCTTGCAATGCTATACTGACAAGGCAGGAAAGTATACTGCATCCAGTGGCTCATTATAAAAAAAACCTTTCAAACTAAATGTGTGCTTTTGGAAAGTTAGTCTTAAAACCAGATTATTGCAGGCATAAAGAAGGACAGCTTCATAGAAATAAATGATGTTACCCTCTCTTACTCCAATAGTAAAGCTATTAGCTATGAGTCTAAAAGCAATTTGGTGCTACCAACGTAAGTAACATTACGACACCCAGTAGAGCTACTATAGTTTAGTTTGTTTCCATTATAAACCAGCTTGTAATATGCATGTTATAGTTCCATAGAGACTGCATGCCAAAGAATCTGTTTATAAGAGAAATAACTTGCAGACAAATTTATTAAAAGTATTTTATGAAAACAACTATATTAACGTAAAACTATTTGTAAGAATACTTCTTTGTAATGTATATAATTATTCAGTTTTAGTTAAACTCTTAAAAAGCTGGCAGTTTTATTCATAATATTGTCTATTAACTTTTGGTACGTTATAGGAATTAAAATATTTCAGTTGAAGAATTCACACTCATATTTTTTAAAGCACTTTTATCCATTGTTAGGTCCCTTGTATTTGAGAGCTTCTCCCCCATCACCTGATTCAAAATGACCCCAGAACTTAAAGTATATAGCAACAAATCAATCTCTGTTAAATTTGCCTGTTTGTCTCAAGCAGATATAATATGCAAGGGACTGATGTTTAGAGACTGCTGTAATATCTGTACACAGTTAAGCTGGTGAAACAAGTCAATCCTTCTAGATATTTTGGTGTTGAACAGTTTTAGTTGGAGGATATCTTGGGGTATTTTGATTAATTTTAGAAGTTAATTTCAAGTTGATTTCAAGCGTTACCATTTTGTTACTTTTCATATGGTTCTGGCAGTTAGAGCTTATTGGTCATTTCATAGTTTAAAACCAAGTCAAAGGAGCATTACTAAGGTTAATGTTCTTATGTAATTCAGAATTATTTATCCCTTTTTAAAGTTTTTAAAGTACATTTTTCAGAAAAGCCTAAAGCCTGACCTGGCAAATTACTGTCTCTAAATAGTAACCTGTAGTTCTTTGTTTTTTGTTTAGGAATCTCTCAATAGCTTTAATCCACTGACTGGCAGCAGTGGCCTAGAAATCTCTGCATTGTCACTTTCCATGCATAAACCTGACACTGCATTTTGTTTCATTGAAGAGCTCAGCCAGCCTTCAATGTTGATTTGGAAGAAGACCAAATTTTAAATTTCAAATATCAGACTTATGTGATATCATTATTTAACATTCTGGTAACTTTTCAGTTTTGGGTTATGAAGCAAAAGCTCTTAACCTCAAGCAGCTTCTTAACACTTCGTTAATTACTATTTAACAATTAAGACATACGTTTGAGAACTACTGAAATCAGAGCAAGTTCTGCATGCTTAAGATGCTAAAATAATGTCTTGCATCTAATTAGATCATTAAGGGAAGCCTGATTAATAAGAAACTAAATGTGGATGTAATAGATTTTAAGAAGAATTGGTCTCCATTGATTTTTTTCCAGATAAGCTATGCTTTTGTATCTAGTATGTTCTAATGAATATTTGCATTTTTAGTTTGTGTTGCCTTTAAAAAATGAAAACACCAAGATTATATACAAAACTTATATGCAACCAAAATAGAGCTTTCGTAGCAGCTTGCTCTGTTAAGTGACTTGGGATAACATTTAATTCTTTTCAATTTGTAAGCAAAAAATGTGTTACAGCAACAGTAGCATGTATCATCTGACCCTCACCAAATTAATTTACTTTGTGAAAGTAACTCAGGAAGGAGACCTGTTTCTTCCAGCAGCTGTTTTAGTTTCCTCTTACTGGTTGTTCAGTGCCTGCCAAAAATACATACTTCTTTACATTCCATAGCATTGTATGTTCATATGGGTACATAAAGAAGTATGTACTCTGGGCAGGTATACAGCTATCTATCAGAGGAATCTGCAAAGTATTTTGCTTCCTTGTCCTTCTATTAATCAAAATGCAGGTTGTTCCTTCTTTAGAAAAATAACCTTACAATAAACTTGTTTATAAGCTAATATTATTACTAAGATTTACAATACAATTTACCTGCAGAGTGGCTTAAAGTCTATTACAGTTCATTGTTCTGTGATGACATGAACACTTGAAGCACTTATCCCAATTTTTGGTTGCCTCTTGCTGTTCATTCTGGCTGGCCAGGTTTGAATGAAGAGTTGGATCATTGATGGGTAGCTTTGCAAAGTATTTTCCTGGAGTGGATAGTTGTATTCCACCATAAGAACTTCAACTTTCTGTGAGATCTTCTCTCAGGCTTCCATGCTGGTATATGGTTTGTATCTAGTATCCTGAAGGGAAGTATAAACTCATCTAATATGAAGATTATCTTGCCTTCCACCTTACCCCTCATTCCCCCACCCACTTACAACCCCCCAAACAAAAACTTCCTGTCAACTTTTCCCAGGTCTAGTTATCACCTTTCTGCTGCAGATCCAATAGTTTGTTGTTTTTTTTTCTTAAAAAGAAGAAATCTCCCAGAGTGCCAGTGAGCCTATTGATTGAAAAGATGATGACATTGAATTTATGGGGGAGGGGGGAAACTATTTGGGCTGTAAGCAAGCTGTAGGTCACATGTGAAAGCTAGTACTTGTTCAGCACTTCTGGAACAATTTTTTTTTAACTTTGTATAGTCACTCACCTGCTTCAGTCAGAATCTCTTCTGGGCTTGCAATATCAATGACAATTGACATAAACATTAAATGTACATGTGTTCTCCATTTCTCATATTCTATTATCTGTTTAAGATGCAAGGACATCTTGTAATGACCAGTGAATAGTCAGTGTGCTGGCCAGGTTTGACTTTTAAAGACCTGTCAGATGTAGATTATATTTCAAGAGTTTATTTGAGTTATTGAGTACACTTTATCTTTGTGGTGTTAGAAAGGATAATTTGAAATAGGTGTAACAATCAGTGAATTTAAAAGCCCTAAGCAAAGGGGAGAGTAGAAGAAGTAAAATTTCTGCAGCCCATGACAAAAACCTAGTGCAGCTGATAGAGAGCAAATCAGAGTGTAGCAGTAGCTAGCACAGTACTACAAGGAGAAACAGCAATGCAGCATTAGAATTACAGCATGCACATTGTAGGTTTTTAACTGGGTTGTTTTTGTGTACATCTAAGATATAAAACACTTTGAAAATCTGACTTAAAATATGCTTTGGAACTAAGCACTGAATTATCATATTATTGACCAGGTTTTTAAAAGCAGTTCTAGTTGTGACTTGCACAGGAAGGTAAGGATGTATTCCACTAACATTAACTATTACTTTAATGTTCAGAAATCAATGCATGGTAATAAAATTCCTTGAGTACATCTGAGATAGGAGATCTTTCTCAAACAAGTTTTTTTTGCCATGAAATTTGGACTAAGCTATTGTTGTTTACTCTTAAGCCTGCTCTTTACACTACAAATGCTTGATACTTCAACACACTGAAATTAAGCTGTGCCCAGAGTAGAGGGGTTAATATTACAATAAAAACAATCTAGTAAATAATAGCTATGCATGCAGAAAGTCATAGGCATCCTTTAAACGTGCAGAATAAGGCAGGCCTCCTGATGTTCTATTACCTGTAAGCTTAGTATCATGCAGCATTTGCAGTTGGAAGAGAGGTAATGACCTAGAGACACATCAGCAGCAGCCATCTCATCCTGAGTGTTCGTTCACTCTATTCGCTGATTCAGCTCTTCGTTACATGGGAGGGGGGAGCAAGGAGGGATGTGTCCGTGAATTCAGTACCTTATCACTTCAAATAGATAAAAACTTAAAAGCAAAATAGTGTGAACAGTGATGCCTGATTGGCACCTGCTGCTTTTCTTGGAATGTATAAAATGTGGATGATGTTGCATAGAAATTGTACCTTGCGCCTGGTGGACTGAGAATTAAGTGTCCAAAGATGGATGCTAGGAAACCAGGGAAGGTGAACTTAGCCCATTGTTAGATTAAAATAATCAGAGGAAAAAAAAGTTGGAGTGACTTACAAAACAAGCAGCAGCCCCCCTCCCCCAGCAAATATTTGATTTCTTCTAGTTCCTTAGACATTGCACTGCATCTTTTCTTGCTTGAAGTTAAATTTCCAGGCTTAACTGTAGGCAGATCTGTGTTGAAGCTACTTTCCATCTTCAGAGGTCAAGTCTCTTAGCGCGAGGTCAGGGCTCTCACATGCACAATATAGAAGAGACTAACTGTATTTCCCACTCAGGGCAGAAGCAAAACTGTTACAGCTTTATAGGCAGCTAAGCATTTGAAACATGCACTCCCAGGCAAACAGGCTGTCTTGTGTCTCTCTCTTCCCTGACCATATTTAGTCAACCATTGCAAAAAATAGTCTCTCAGCTGTCGATTGACGATCCAGAAACTGAGGGAGGCTCTATCTTGCTCTCTGCCTATTGATTGTTCATCCTGGAGTTCCAGTGCTGCTTAGCCATTTGTTCTGATATTTTTTAGCACTGCCAAATAAAGCGGTCTCTCATGTTTCCACTTACATTTCCCAGATTTGCACTGAGCTTGCGCTGCTACTAGTAAAGCCTGATGCGGCTGCCACTATACTTAGCAACACTGCGGAGCAAAAAAGAAAAAAGCTCTGCAAGTAGCAAGACACAAGGTCTTTAGGCAGATATAAAACAATAAATAACCCTCTGTGGCCACAACAGATTGTGTAACTTCTTGATCAGCAAAAATGCTATGAATATTAAATTGCTTTTTAGTCTGAGGCCTGAGTAGCCTTGTTTAATTTCATAGCTTTTTAAGTTTTGCCTGCTGATGTTAAATTTTACAAATACATTTTGTTGCAAGTGTTTGCCTGCAGATGAAAGCAGAGTCGGAAATTAAATAAATTTCGGTTAAACAGTGAATGATTTTTATACTATGGATTATAAGTCTTTACAATTGCTTTTTTTGAATTAACAGTTTTTCAAAGTAGCGGCACTGCAACTGAAGAAATGTTTTTCAGGAATAGAAAATTTAAAACATAAGACTCAGTCTGAAGGTCTGATTTTTGATGCATGCAAGCCATTTGTAATAAGGTCACTACTGATACTTTCACAACTTGGAAGCTCATTTTTGTGTATTAAAATAGAGCAGACAATATATTTCTTTAGGAGTAACAGAGCTAGAATAGTTGACATCTATTGCCAGTTTAGACAGTGTTATACAATACTTAGTGATAACTGAAGCCAAAGTAATTCACTAAAACCTTCTCTTATGTCTAGACAAAAATCTTTTTGTAATGGTGTATTTCTGAATCCCAAAACACAAAATATAATTTTAAAAGCAGCAAGGAGAAAAGAATAATTGCAAAGCATAATGAACCAGCGGCTAATGCAGAGCTAAATTTAGCTTCACAAAAGTAGGAAATAGTTTCATTATTAACTTCTCTACAGGTCCGTAACTGTTCTTGTTAATACTTGGAGTCATGGTATTCCAAGATATAAGGGTTGAAATGCAAAATACTGACAATGATGGGATTTAGATTGGTTCTGTACCATGGTTGAGGTTGTAGCTAAGCTTTTCATTGTAAATCCAATGTCTTACCCATCAAAATTTGGGGCAGCATTAGCCTCTTCAAAATGCGGACATTGTTTGGGCCAAAGTTAAGTTAGAAATATCCTGTAGTGTCTCTAGGCCTGCTAATGTTTACTTGAATTGTATACGTCATTCTTCTTTAGGGTGCTTTCCTTTAAGCGTATTTGTAGTAGTTTAAAAAAAGAGGGGTGGGGTTGGGGAATCTTTGTGGTGAAAAATAGAAAGAAACCTGCTACTTGATATCCAGAGCACAGCACCATGATTAATTGATTAGATGAAAATTAGAGGTTAACATTTTAAATATAAACGTTATCATGGATCACTGGCTTTGGGAAACTTAGTAGAGAATGTGAAATAAATGCTTAAACACCCAATATTACATGTCATACTAAATACTCTAGCCATTTTCCTGGCAGCTAGACCTCGACACACAAACTTTGCAAAGACCGTCACTGTTCTCCACTTCATTTTATAACCTCAGCAATGGAAGAGAGATGACTTACCAGCTTCTCTGTATTTTGCTTTTCTTGTTTTTAAGTGGACTGCACATTTCTTTGATAAAATTCAGATTTAGCATTAATCTAGTTCAGGGCTATCCAGTTTCCAAAGGGCCATGAGCCACATGGCCCACAGCCTGCACCAACAGGAGCTGCACAGTGTGCGGGCAGCACTAATTAGAAGTTATGGGTCCCTGGGTGGGCAGGTGCTTCCCCATACAGTGCAGCACTTGGCCTCACCTTCAGCTACTTGCTGGCTCCCTGGGGCACTGTACTACATGGGTGCTCCATGTTTCGAGCTGTCCTGGCGTTTGTGCTATTCTGCCCTGCTCTGTGGGGTACAAGCCTGCAGCAGGGGTGAGCCGAGGAAGGGAGAGCCCTGAAACCT